TATATATATTGGCTGTATGCTTCAAATATTGTATATATACTTATTCCTTCATTTCTACATTTATTCATACAATGCCATAAACAGATGTGGAGCAAATAGAAGTATAAAATATCTTTCATCTAGAACTAAATACTACAGAATTGTAAATTTTGTATTGAGAAACTATATACCTATTTTTTCTAGTATACAGTGCTACTTCCATGTATTCAAAAGAGATGATATAAATGCATATATAAACATTTACAAAATAGTGAAAATAAATACACTCAGCTGAATATACCCTGAAAATTCATATACCCTGAAATGAATTTTCATTCAGAATTTGCATAAAAATACTTACATAATCACTATCACACATGAATGCTTTGAAAAACCACACAAGTAACCAATCACTCATTCTTTCAACTGTTTAATAATTTATTCACTCACTAATTCAGCCATTCATTCAGTCCCTCACCCACTCATTTATGCAATATTCTTCTCATTCACTCACTATATCACTCTTTCACTAACTAAATGTATTACTTAATAAACCAACCTACCAACAACCCAATCAATCAATCACTCATTCACTCACTCACAAATTTGATTATTCCATCTATCATTCTGTCAGTGATTTACTAAACCACTCACATGCTCAATAACACGCAAGTAAATTTTGATTAACAGTATCAAAGAATTTATATATATTTTTGACAATATAGCTTTCTTCTATTTATAATCCAATAATATTCACATGACCAAACATTGTTGTGACAGATGACTAGTTTTTAAGATGAACAAAAATGAGTTTTCGTTTTCATAAAAGGAAAGAAAATTGCACTTGCAAATTTGAGTATCAAGGTGCATTGTTCATTTGTACTTCCAAATCTTCTCCCTCCATCATCTCATACTCCCTCTCACTAATGGCAAAGGGTTTCAGGTCCATCTCCATCTGATGAATTGATGAGTCTGTGAATCCACTTCCCGAGGCAATGGGAGATGCATCCGCTTCAGCAGCCTCCTCATCTCCCAGTGGTTGAATGGGATCCTCTGTGAGTGTGGGTTGAGCAGCCGTTTCCCCCTCACAGGCATTTAAGTCCGATATTTCAAACGTTCCAGCTGGACTTGGGTCCTCCTGAGGTGCATCAGTGCCTACAGCTTCTGCATCCATGTTTCTTCTTTGTGTTGTGTTTGGCACAACCTGGCCAAGTTTTTCCAGGCAAATACTGACTTTTTCTTCTAAGACTCCTAGACGTGTGCTGACTCTGCCCTCTAGCTGCTCCATCCTGCTTTCAACAGTCTCTTGGAAAGCTTCCAATCTTGCCATCATAGGACTTATAGCTGCCTGAACACATGTTGCTATGAGGTGTACATTAACTGACCCTAAGATGTCAGGGCTTGGGTGTTCATTGACAGGCGTACCATTAAAATAGGGTGCCAGAAAGTGATTTAGGCCAGTGAAGGCCTGGGCTCCCTGATCAGTAGATGAGCTCAGGCTGTGGCCCTCCATGCTAGGCTCTCTTTCTATGATATCCTCTTCAAAGTTCTCAAAGTTCTCAACTTTGACATCATAGAGGGGATCTTCATTGGAAATTACATCATAGCCCTTCTCTCGCTTTCTCTCTCGATTGTGCTTCTTTTTTGCCTTAGCTGCCTTTTTCTTTTTTTTCTTGGCACTTGCAACACAAGCCCTCAGGCTAATCTTGAGAGGAGGCACAATGTTTTTTCTTCTAGGCTGGTAGGAGTGAATGATGAACTCACTTTGACTTGGTGGGTTAAGCATATTGTCCAACTCACTCTTCATCCTTGTGAGCAGCTTCGCCTCACGGCTAGCTTTGCTGCCCTTGAAAATATCCATGCCAGTTTTCATGGACACAGCATCTTCGACCCATGGGAAAATGCTGGGATCAACTCCGTCCTTCAGTGAGCAAACTTTCCCTTCTCCTCGGGGTATAACGTTGAAGTCGTCCTCCTGGAAGTGTCCCATGCACAGACCCACTCGAATGGGCAAAGGCACCAGAGGATCCACATCAGGGAATTTCTCATTCAACTTGGTTATCTCCGCCCACTCTTTCCTCCTCTCCAAGTCTTCCGGGAATTCTACAAACCTGTTACTGCATGCTCTCAGGAAACATCCCGGAACCATGCACTCTTTCCTCCTGTTCTGCTTGCGCTTTTCATAAAAAAAGTTCTTCTTTTTCCGCTTACTCTTGCGCCAGGTGCCTGGCATCATGCGCTGGCCCTTCATTAAGGGACCATTTACAGGCACCATATTACTTCTGGTCTCTACTACAAAGATATTGCCTTTTGCTTTTTTGTGGCTTTTGCACTGGTTGTTTACTTTAGTTTCAAAATTCTCTAGATCCAATTCCTTACTCTCCTCAAAGGTCACATCAGCACCAACATCATTTAAGAGTTCATCCCCATCACTGCTTGGGCCAGTATTCTGGGCATCCAATTCTACAGCCTTAGGCTCTTCTTTCCCCACAATCAAACCTGAATTTGCCTCAAGTACAGCAGCACCTTCTTCTATGCCAACTGAATGGCTGGGCGGATTTCTATTTACACTATTTATAAGTTTTGTCACACCACTGTCAACTGGTATTTGAGATTCACCACCTTTAGTTCCCTCATGCCCGATATCCTGTCTGTTATTAGTTTCACTGAATTTGTACGTTGGATCTTCACCACTCACGTTCTCATTACCTCTTACTTGGCTCCACTCCATGTGCAGCCTATCACTCACTTTTTCAGAACTCCGTCTATCTACTACATAACCAGTCATTCTGTTATACTTCTCCCACTCTGCCGCCCTCTGAGCAATATCAGCATTTATACTAGCGTCAGCACTCCAATCTGTAAGAGGTTCACTTCCCACATTCGTCATCAGTTTCTCCGATCTATCAGCCTCATGCACTCCACTGGCAAAATCACTTCTGTTTTCCATAAAATGTCCAACTTTAAAAAAGCCTTCATGAGATAACTCCCTCCCTATGTAATTCCCTCTTGATCCATCATCAACTTCAAAATGCCTCATGTCTTGAGTTCTACAAGTCATCCCCAACACATCTGTTGCACCCCCTGGCACCTGTCGCTCTTGAAATGGCTGCAACTCGACTAATCTCTCACTCGGGACATGCTCACTTTCCAGCGTCCGAAATTCATAGCCAGCTCTTTGGATGCCAAGTCCACTGGGATTCATGAAATCACTCGTCACCGGGATAAAAGGGTCTCTTGCCACGCTTGAATCCATGACCATGTAAACTTCCCCGTGTCCGTGTCTTCTGATGTTCGGCACTTGGGAAATAGAAGGAATCTGTCCATGTTCTCCTGTCCTCTGTGGTGGCACTGGATATGGAAGAATGCTCCCCACGAGCCTTTCTTGAATGGGATCAGCAGGGGCACTTCTCTTCATGTGTTCTTCATCCTTTCTGGTCACTGAAGTAATCCAGGTGCTTGGGAGAGGTTCCTTGCTAGGGCATGACACCGGAGTGACATATGCCTCGGCCAAAATATTTCCCCTGCTGGCCTCTGACAGACCTCCACGGAGATGAATGTTCTGTTCTGTGATGTTGTTGTAGAGAGGGCTATTAATTTCCTCACTGTTCCTTATTTCCAGCATTTTACTTTCAGACTTCTTTCCTTCTTCTTTTGTGTGATGAGTACTTGCATTGTCCATTAAGACAAACATTGTGGACTGCTTAAGTGACTATGATTTTTAATGTCATTATATTATAATTACTCTTATCCATTTACCCATTTTGTAATCCTTGAGTACTTCTGACACATTATTTGTGCTAAAAGAGATTCCATCGCTCAACCTGCAAAAGATAAATATGCTATATTACAAAATGTTGAAACATGTATTTTTGATTCTATGATTTTTTCATATATCTCTAGAACAATGTATAATTACACACTACTGTACTAGAGAGTTTAAGAGTTCATTTTTTATATGTGTATATATAATTTCCAATTTCTTTACAGTACTACATTAAGTCAAATTAAATTACATTTTTTTCTTAAAGTCTCATCCTGAAATTCCTGTACACATAATCCTATTGTAAAGGCAAGGTGTTTTGTCTTAAAATCAGAAGCAATTTCATCTCCATTATTGTAAAGTAGCAGTAACTAATTCTTAAATCTTTCATTATGGGTATTTTTCATTGAATTATGGTAATAAGAAATTAATTTATGCGGATACAGCCTGAAAATAACCTCCATCTAATTTAGCAACTGAAGAATTATCACATGAAAGTCAAAGCGTCTATCCACATAAAAAACATATCAATCACATCAAACAGATGTATAGAAAAACAAACTCAGACACATCCTCATGTAAATTCTTCAAAACTTAAACCTGACCTTTTTCATTCATCAATATCTATTATGACTTCACTTTTAAAACATTAATACACAGATAAACTCAGTAATATGGTTAATACATTGATGCCACGATAGCATGTAGAAGCCTACCATATCCACTTTGATTTAAGCTTATTCATTTTGCTTAGATGGCTCCATAAGACCTTAGTCACCAATGAGTCACTTGATTATTACTACCTGATCTCACCTTTTGTCGTTTTCTATGACTTTTGTATTTTTTTTCTACTACCAACAATAATAATAATAATAACTGTAAGGATATGAATAACATTAGAGAAAATAAAAACTGCTTTCCAAAAATTCTAGGAGTGGGAATATCAGGTGCAGTCTAGGCCTACCAACTGACTCCTAGGTGACTAAGCACTTGTAGAGCCACTTATGTATAACAGAATTTTACAAACTAAAACTTCATTGGGTGAAAAGTAATGGACACCATACCCAAAGGAAGAAAAGACAAAACTTAAAAGAAAACCATGAAAATATTTGCCTTCATCTTCATAGTTATGTGTCAACATCCCAGAGGAAAATATTTTGGTCCTTTTTCAATATATTCTAAGAAAAAAAAAATCTTCCTTCTTTCTCCACCCACCTCCATAAAAAGACAGTCTGCTTCCTTCTCTAGATCTCCACTTTCATGAAAATCACAATTCTATTTAGTATCCAATTTCTCTGTTAATCTTTCAACAAACAACATCAACACCCTGTCATTTCAGTCCTCTCCATAAAAGTAAATACGCAGCATCTATTAGACACATTTTATCCCTGTATCCAACATACTCAAACCACCAGTGAGAAAGCCAAGTTCACACCCCTCAGTATATGACTAGCAGGTGTAACTGTAGTGAACTCTAGTCCAATGTAGTTTGCATTATTATTACTGCTAATATAGTAATACAACACAAAATGATGTCACAGGCATAAAGATGTAAAATAATGGCTATACTTATTCCTGTAAACACTATACAGACGTAACCTACACAAGATACTGGTACATTTTTCGTATCATTTATAGTAATACTCTAAATGAGAAACCTTCCTAAAACAAAACAAGGAATTACCAAATGCTGCATTACAAAACACCACAGAAATTAGCCTCTAATCTCAGTCCATTTTGATAACCAAAACACATAAAACATCAAACAGGTATAAAGATCAAAGGTGGTTTGTGACAATGAAGCATTTTAAACTTACTTCTGTCATAAAGACATTATGATTTACTGGCATCTGACATTTCAGATAGTGGATCAGTTTTTTTTATTATTAAAACAATAATGCAGCCAATATTTTTTTCTTAAAAATATTTCCTACATAATCTACTTACATTATATTTTCCTTCTCTTTTTTGTAATAGTAGCCAATGGTATTTGCTTTTACTGATGATGAGTAAAACACAGTAATATTTTTGTGAATTGCAAGACTGCAATAAAATTTGCAAATTGTGATTTTCTTAATACCAAAATTAGAAGTCAGATACTTAAATTTCCTTTGCATATCCTGTACTTCAGCAACTGCATGGAATTACATAGTATTTTCCCATGAAATCATAATCAAAACAGTTTTAATTTACATTTTCCTCTATAATATTCTTGCAACATCATAAGCCAATTAATCATACAGGCCAGTAAATACAGCATCCTAAATAGAAACCTCCCTAATACTTATCTAAAAAATACAATTCATCCTTGTTTTATACAGTATATCATATATCATTTCTCTGATGTCTATCTTTTTTTTCATTGGGTAAATTTTCAACAAATGACAAAGAATATACAATTACCTGAGAATTCCATAAGAGAGTATTATATTTCCAGTCAGTTCTCAAAGTCTAACATTCCCATCTGCTTTGTGCCCATGAATGCTGCTCTGAAAAAAAATAGAATCACCTATAGTTTCGATATTAAACTGCCTTACACCACTTTAAAATATTAACAAACATAAATTATTAAGATCATTATAATTTACATTTAAGTTAACATAACAGGTATCGTTTAAAATGTACAAAACATTAAGGATGTGTTCTGTATGAAATAGCATGGTATACATAAAAGTAAGGTAAACAAATCATCATATACATAAATGAGTGTATAAACACATAAGTTTGCTAGGAAAAACATTTAGATAAACAAAAGATTACCAAATAAGTTGAGTTAAGCTTAAAATCAGTGAACTCATGTCTTACTTTCATTATTTCAACATATCACATATTTGAAGTATGACTGAGCAATACCTGTTTTATGCATTTTTATCCAAGTTCATGATTTATATTTGTTAATATTAGAAGAAAGAAAACATTTTACTCCAATAAAAAATGGAGTTGTACTTTACATATCTGTTTGCATACATATAATGTAAATACATTGAAAATTTATATAAATCAATGTATTTATAAATATGTATATGTAAATAAGAATGTCAATCAACATGTCATTTATAACATGCCTACAAAAACTTCCTAAATTAAAAAATCAGTTACAGTTCTCTTGAAATAAATAGTTATTTCTGATTAAATTCTATAAAAGTAATAAAAGATCACATGTAAACCATAACTTACACATATATTTAACTGTTCATCAAAACTACATAAATCAGAACTAATAATTACATTCTACAAAACTCATTTAAGAATAAATTGGAAATCCTACATTATATCTAAATCAATTAAATTGCATAATAAAATTACATAATCAAACGCAGACAAAACACATAAATATTTCATAAGTGTTGAAAGATAAATAATCACTAACTATTACAATAACTTAATAACATCTACGTATCGTTAATTCTCCATGAAATAAGCCATATCATGCCCTAAAAAATAACGAATTAACGAAAATAAAATGTCCGTAATACACTTAACATTTAATGACCTCTTATTTCATACGTAGAAAAACCTCATTTAAATCCCCCAGTTTTCACGTCACTTAATATTCCCTAGACGAATATGACCCTCTATATCATACATCTCTATTGGCACATGATAATACCATCGTTCCATTAGCTGTGCGTTAAAAAATGAAGTTAGATGCTTGGGATTTTTTGAGATTGGTGAGTTTCCATCTTCCTCCATCGCGTATTGACGAGGCGGCGCTTGAACACAGGGGAGGGAGGTGAATAGACTCGGTTTCCCTTGGGTTTGGAATTTTTTGGTGGAGAGATTTTTCTGGATTATTGTTCATTTATCTCAGGAGTTTTTTTTTTTTTCTTTTCTTTTCTTTTTGTAGTGGTTATTCATCCTAGGAGTGTTTTTTTTTTTCTTTTTTTTTGTTGTGGTAATTCATCCCGGGAATTCTTGTAGAGAGATTATTCTGGATTGTTATTCATTCACCTCAGGAGTTTTTTTTCTTCTTTTTTCTTTTTTTGTAGTGGTTATTCATCCTAGGAAGGTTTTTTTTCTTATTTTTGTAGTGGTTATTCATCCTAGGAAGGTTTTTTTTCTTATTTTTGTAGTGGTTATTCATCCCAGGAAAGTTGTTCTTTTTCCTTGGGTAATGTTTAGGGTGGTTGTTTTATCTATGTGGGGGGAGTGATCTGTATATGGGGGCAGTACTACATGTGTAAGGGAGAGAGGTTATGTTGGGAAGTCTTTGTAACTATGTGGTGGTGGTGGCATTAGAACAGCGTTTCCCACCCACATGGGATACTTTCTAATGGCCATGAAACAATACGAAAATTATGACTTCGAATTAAACTGATTTCTTCCCCTGCCTACAGTACCTATTTATCACTCAAATATCAAGAAATTGGACTATACCCATATCGTGTTCAGTCCTATAGCTATTGGCATCATTACACTATTCATAACTAGTAAAAACTGAATCTAGAAAGCTGACAAGCAAAGAACGGGGGCCTTTGAGATATATCATATATTGGTCGGGAACCACTGGTTTAGAGTTTTATATGTGTGAGTGTTTTAATTATCTTATTACTGTAATCTCCATCTTTATCATTATCATTACTATTATCATTGTTATTATTATCATCATTATTGTTGCTGTTGTTGTTGTTATAATTATCCTCATCATTATTATCTATGCATATTGTCATCATTATCATCATCACTGTTATTATTATTGTTATTATCACTATCATTATCATCGGTTATTATTACTACTATTATTATCATCACCATCACTGTTAATAGTAGTAGTAGTAGTAGTAGTAATAGTAGTTGAATCATTATCATTATTGTTATTATCATTATTATTATTATTATTATTATTATTATTATTATTATTATTATTATTATTATTATTATTATTATTATTGTTATTTTTATTATTTTCATTATCATTATTATTATTATTATTATTATTATTATTATTATTATTATTATTATTATTATTATTACCATTATTACCATTATTATCATTATTATTAGTAGGAGTAGTATCATTGTGATTATTATTATTATCATAATTTGTATTGTTATCATTATCATTAATTATAATGATAATGATAATGATAGTAATAATAATAATAATAATAATGATAATAATAATAATAATAATAATAATAATAATAATGATAATAATAATAACAATAATAAAGATATTATTATTATTACTATCATTATCTTTATTATCATTATCATTATCACCATCATACTCATCATCATTATTGTCAATATAACTATCGTTGTTATTTTTTATGCTACTATTATCTTTTAACATCATCATTTTTATTATGGATGTTGTTGCTGTTTCTGTTTTTATCGTCATTATCGCCATCTTTATCTTTATCATTGTTGTCAATACTACTCCTTTTCTTTTAGCTTATTTTTTTTTCATCGTCTTCCATTCTTCCTTCCTTTTAATTTTCTCTATCGCATTTTTTGTTGCTTCTGTTGTTCGTCCTCTTCCCTTTTTCTTTCTTTTTTTTTCTTTTAATTCATTCCTTGTTTCTCTCTTTTTTTCCAATTCGTTCTTCATATTGCTGTTATTTTCGTTTCGTTATAATCATCGTTAGTATTATTATTATTAGTGTTGTTGTTACCATCATTATTTTCTATAATTTTATCATCAATATCATCATCATCTTTATCATCATCACCATCATCATCATTATTACTATTATCATTATTATTGCTGTTATGATTATTATTGTTATTAACATAATTATCATTATCATTACCACTAGTATCATAATCATTACCATTAGTATCATTATCATTGTCCAAATAATAATGCATTATATGTATTACAAGGAATTTTATTTTCTGCTTTCTTCCTTTCTACTTTCCTTCCGTTTTTACGCAATAAACATCTGCAATGGTCAACAAATACACCAAAATATGCAGATTTCTAAGATACATAATTTATCCCACTTTATCTAGTTGCCAAGTCGGTCTTTTCAGCATACTTCCGCAGAGTCAGCATAAAGCAAACATTTTCTGAGGCACATGAGTTTTCTTGTTGTGTTTGATATTCCTTACGCGACTTTCTTATTCTTTATCTTATTTCTTCATGTTATTGTTATTCCATGTTTTGTTTCTTTGTCATTGCTTAAATTCACACACACACACACTGTTTCTCCATGTATCTATGTATCTATATATGCATATACATATACATACATACATACATACATATACATGTGTGTGTATATATGTATATATATATATATATATATATAT